GATTAAAGAGAGAGAAATATACAGGGTGACAAAAAAGTTTAATCACAAAGTTTTGTGTTTATCAAATCAATTATTAACGTATATATTCATAAAAAATACATTCTGTATTGTTAGTTATTAAATAGCAAAAATGATTAACAAAAAATGATTAACATTTTAAATAATCGTAAGCTGCTTTGGGAATACATTAACGATGTGCACCTTTCCGGATAAATTGTTCCAGGTGGTCAATAAAGACTTCAATTCACGATGAACCGATGAAATTTTTTTAGTACAGGGTCTTTAATAAAATGTAACTAACACTCCAGATTTATTTTTTTTTTTTAATATTTTATTACACAGGTAGCAAGCTGAGATTATTTATATTGTATTTTAATGTTGAAATGATCTATTTAATGTTATTTTGACATTAAAATGTTATCTTTAATGCCATTGTGACATCATGAAAACGACAAATAACATTAGCTTGTTACAATGTGATTCGATAAACACACAAAATGCTTATCGCATAAACTTTTTTGTCACTCTGTAAAGTATTAGGTGTTGGAATTAATTCGTAGCGTTTTTTAATGAAAGAATGTTATTTATTTCACATGAGCATTAAAAAATACATTAATGAAAGTACTTCCCATCACTTGTAAAACGCTACGAATTAATTCCAACATCTAATATAAGCATAATAAATGTTAAACATAAAAACATATTAAAATGTAGGTATCGCAAAACTAAATAAAAGAAATAAAAATTTGATTAATTGGAAAAGTATGAAATATTATTTCGTAATTTTATTACTTCGTTTGTAGCACGTAGTAATGATCTAAACTTTTACATAATAGCTTACGTAATGATGATCGCCTCGTGATAATGATCTACGACGTAACCTCCACGTATTTTTCTTTAAAAATAATACTATAATTACTTTGATATTCCTTATATTCAATATAACGTCGCACGTCAAATTTAACGATTCATAATAACGTTTCGATTTCTATCAATCATTTATCTGACATCGTTCACTTCCTTATCGAGGTAAAAAAGAAAAAAAAAAGAGACACATCCAAGATACATCCAAGAGGATGAAAGGCAAGAGGTTAAATTCTCAGAAGTGCATCTATTACATTCTTTGTGATTCTCCGAAAAAGAAGGAAGCTTATCACGACGTATTTGTCAATGTCAGCTCGGGTCTTTTTACGGGCGTCTACATTTCGTGCACGGCGACTGGCGGTCGACTCGCGTGGCTTCTGGAGAAGAGAATGCGTTGATGCATCTTCATAGAAGTATCTCTCGCAAGTATATGACTATATATATATATATATATGTATGTGCAATTAACGTCGCGTGGAAAAGGAACGACGGCGAAAAGCGGGAATATCGATTGACGCGATAGACGAGGCGGCCTGTCGGCCGTATACGTTCGATTTTCGATACATCGGGTCAGAAACCACACGATTGTGGATGCAACATTGATGATGTCTCGCCCGATAACCGGGTAAACGTACATACATCCTGGGCTCCCCTCGGTTATCGTGCTCTCTCGGAGGAAGAGAATATTCGCATCGATAACGATAATCGGGTCGCATCGCTCGCATCGACGGCTTTTATAAATGATATTTTCGGCCGAACGTTGTATCTATAATCCCGGATCGCAAAAATTCGTGCCGTAAATAAAATGCGTTTACATGCTATTTTGCAACAATTACGATATTGCAGCGAGAATAAAATTTGTAACGATAAAGTGGAATTACGTGATCAAAGTTGTGTCGTAATTTAGGATGTTATATAATTAAGTATCGTTATTTAATTCAAAATTCCCAAAATTCCCAAAAGATGAAGCAACAAACGAAGGTTATTAATGTAAATAATTATAATTGACAAAACGAAAGATTTAAATTAAATGATAAGTATAAATTAAAATAATAATAAAAGAATTAATGTATAATGAAGTTCTCGCGATTAAATACCGATTGAATATTTAATTTATTATTACTGATGCGAATTGTTATACATATAAAGAGAACGTAAACTAGGAGCGTTAAGATAATTAATGTCATATAATTAACACAAAGGTAAAAGTGCGAAAAGCAAAGAAAGCCGATCGGCTCTTCAGCGATAATTAATGATATAATCAATCTTCGTGGGATTTGTTATGATGATAGATAGAATTCCTTCTTGACACTTTTTCACACAATCGCGATTCTAAGGCGTTTCCAAACCAACAAACGACGAAGGAAAATTTTTCGTTATAAAGTTTATCGCAATCTTCTGATGCTTTTCTTTCCGTATTTTCTAGATTTATTTATTTATGAATAAAGTCGTAAAGTTTACATTTCTATGGACACTCCGAAAACATCACGGAATTTCTTTCATTTTTCTATATAATGAGTTTGTTCATATCAATTAGATGTACAATGCACGACTTGCCGTAAACAATTGTTACCAATTTAAATATTTTTTAATAGAAATTTTCTTTTAAATAGTTTCCCCAATCGCTTAAAAATTAAAAATCGATCAACCGTACAGACTGCAGAACACAATATGTGGCATTTATTATTTTAGACTTATGTTTAATTGATTTTTTTCCCGAGTATATTTTACGCAATTACATTCACTAAGAAAAATGTACTAAATTTTAATGAATATTTGTTTGAATATTGTCAGTTAAATATAACGATATAATAATATTTACTGAATATAAACATATATTTATTTGATACGAAAATCATTAATGTGATTTAACTATTACATATTTTTATTTAGCAAATATTTATTTTCCGTAAATAAATATTATATTGGTACTATCCACATAATTATTTACTAAAATTTAGTACATTTTTTTCTCGGTGTTATTTCAGAGTTGTATTACCTATGTTTCTATTAACAAAGATTATCCAGATATTTTAAAGAAATGATCTTCTTTAAAACATTTTTCAGTAATCAGATTTTTTTAAATATTTCCAAACAAATTTAAGTTTAAATCGAACAAAAATTCGACGCTTTCTCATCTTTCTTACTTTTTTGTTAGACTTTTTTTTTTAGACCTACACTGAGAAAAAAAATAGTCAATTTTAATAAATATTTAGTTCAATACTACCAACTAAACATTTACTTACCATAAATAAATATTTGCTAATTAAAAAGAATGATTGTTAAATCGAATTAATGTTTCTTGTATCAAATAAATATGTCTTTATATTTAATAAATATTTAGTTCAATACTACCAACTAAACATTTACTTACCATAAATAAATATTTGCTGATTAAAAAGAATGATTGTTAAATCGAATTAATGTTTCTTGTATCAAATAAATATATCTTTATATTTAAATATTAAAATTTTTTTGTCTTTATATTTAAATATTTAGTTGGCATTATTAATAATT